CATAATCTTTACTTAGGATAATCTCCTTCAGTTACTTCCTTGTAGCTTAACAGAACAATAGAGTAGTGACCTTGGAATGGAGATAACAAATGCCCTAACCTTTGGAATAGAATGGATAGGATTAAAATCAAATGGTATAAATACAGATGTAACAGGAGAATAAAGAGAGAACCTAGCTAGAGAGCCTGGCTAGAACCTGGCTAGAGAAGCTGGCTAGGCTGCTGATCAACTGAACGCTGTCTCCATGCCATTCCTTCTTCGCCGACTCCGTCCACACCTTTGGGAACCCCTGGACCTGCTGGGGCTGGACCCCAACAGACATGGGAGCCATTTGGCCAGAAAAACCCACCTGGGGATCCCTATGGATTCAGACAGCTCTCCCTGCTCCATGAAAGTCACTTTCTTACCCACTGTTCAAAAGATGATTTTTTTCAAAACTTTACATCCTGAAAAGTTTCAAACTTCCTCATAAATAGAATAGTATAACAAACTCCCATGGTTCATTATAGGGAAGCAAGTGATAGGACCAAGTTCAGTTTCCATTAACAGCCACACGATCTAAGTGAACCTTGGAGAAACCCCTTCTCCCCAAACCTGAGTTTCCCACTCTGCTCCATAACCATGCTTTGCTTTCTGGATCTGTCTGGTGCTAGAAGAAAGCTAAAACCGGTGAGAGTGGCAACCCAGAACCCAGATGTCAGGCTGGTGAATGAAGCTCTTTTCTGCCTGAGGCATCTTTTAGATAGAAGGTGATGAAACGCTCAGTCTCTGGAATGAGGTTTCTCTGGCACGTTGAGTCCTGAAGGACCATCACAACGATGGCACAGGTTTCTGTAAGTGATGCATAAACTGCCAGGGTGATGCTGACAATGAAGAAAATAAAGAAGCCTTATTATTTAGGCAACACAGAGAAATGGCCTCTCTAGATAGATTGGGGGGAGGGGGTGTGTGAGGTGTCTAACAATGATTTCCAGCATGTTGGAAAGTCTGCTCCCTCATCTCCTGTGAAAGCAGGGCAAGGCTTTCCGCCTCCCATTCTGTGTGATTCCAGGAGAGAAGGAATTGTGGCTCTTGGATGAGCTTTGTTCCCAGCTCATCACAATGGCCACCATCTGAAAAGAGTTACTTCAGCCAGGCCCCCCTCACCACTGACTACAAGAGGAAGGCAGTCTGTCTGCTCTGTGACAGTCTTCTCCTGGAGCTCCTCTCCCACCTCGTCTTCCAACTCTTCTGTTAGTGGTGGACACTATTCTTGGGAGAGAGGCTCAAGAGTTCTCTTCTGCGCCCGTTTCTTGCTTATCTGTGCATGGAAAAGTGCAGTGCACCATGAAATGAATCACACACAGGCACAAAAGAAAAAGTTGCAAATAAATCCACAGCTAACAGTTTATCACACGTAGGAAGAAGGGGGTGATTTTTATTTTCTTCTTTGTGCTTTTCTGAATTTTCCAAAGTTTTAATAATAAGTTTTGTTGTTGTTTTAAGCAACCAAACTGTTCCTTTCTTATCAAATATCAGGCCAGGCTACCACAAAATTGTGATCCATCCTGGTCCCATGACTTCAGAAAGTGAGGCGTGAAAACATCCGTGCCAACTCTGGTTCGCTAACCGTGCACTGTGCAATGAGCTTCTTCAAGCACAGCTCTGTGCATCTGGGTAAGCCACACCCAAATATGACTCAGGTGTCCTTAAGGATGCTCAGCGGCAGGGAGGGAGGTAAGGCAGCTGCCTGACAGTTGGAGGCAGTTGACTGACTCAGCCTCCATCTGGGCTGAAGTTGTCTTGTTCTCTGGCTCAGGAACCAGGGTGATATTCCTCATAGCATTTCTTAGACAGAAATTCACAAACATATGTCTAGTTGGTAGGTGCCTTTTAGTCTTCACATCAAATGTGGCCAGGAAGCTAAGCAGTTTCCTAGGAACTCAAGAGTCCTACGGCTTCTGTAGGAACTTGTTTCCAGCATGGTGAAGGTCATGTATGAGAGGACAGGCTCTTTTCCAGGCTCTGTCCTCAGGCTCTCTCCCAATCTCAGCTGTAGACAGAGCCCTCCCCTCTGCCTCTTCCCACCCTCCTCTAACTCATCGCCACAATGGGCTCCACAGACAATAGATCTGTCTTCCCAGACTGGAGTTGCGGGGAGGGCAGGAGGTTGTTGGCTAGTGTAGCCCTCCGCCCCTTGCCTTTCTCTGTCCAAGCCATCCTGAAGGAAGGGACTGGAGAGGGTGGCCTCTCCTCCTGAGGCTTGGGTGGCCTCTGGCACATGCTTAGTAATGCCTTCAGCTCCACCCTGAAGTTCTCGTTAAGCCAGCAGTAGATGAAGGGGTTGTAGCAGGTGCTGCTCATGGCAAACCAATGGAAGGCGAAGTAGAGGGCATTGTTGGTATGGATGACCTTGCTGGACAGGAGGAGGACGTAGCAGTTCAGGGGGAACCAGCAGAGGGCAAAGAGGACCACCACCAGCATCAGCATCTTGATGGTCTTCTTCTTCTTGCGCCGCAGGGCCAGGTACTGCTCCGTGGTCACGTCGCCGATTGTGTTGCCCAACCACAGCTTCTTGGCCACACGGGCATAGGCTACAGAGATGATGAGGAGGGGTAGGATGTAAAGCAGGATGAAGGTGGCCAAGTCCAGGTACTTCCAGAAGAGGTCAGCTGGCTCAGGAAAGTCTGGCAGGCATAGGGAGCGAACAATGTCCTCACTGGGGGCAAGGGGAGAGAGAGAGACACAGAGACACAGGGAGACAGAGAGAAGGAAAGTGTGCAATTAGTCTAGAAAGGCCTCGGCCCAAGAAGCACTAGCCTGCTGGTACATCCATCTGTTATAGCACTTTTAATGCTCCAGCCTAATTATCTGATTACATTTCTGACTTTCCCACTAGGCTGGGAGTTCTATAGAGATAAGGAATATACCTGGATCTCTCTGTGTCCTCTTAACTTTGCATTTTCCCTAGCTCATAATAGACACCCAATAAATATCTGTTCAATGAATGAATGCAACACTGGTGTTCCTCATCTTAGACCTAACTCATCCTGGGAGCACAGTGTATTCAAGAATTCCCCATTATACTACCTATTGCCATTCCAGAAGGGAACTAAGAAATGGGCCAAAGACATGATGGGTCTTGATACTATGAGTGGCAATCCCAGAATAACATACTTATTTTCTATGTAATATACCCAGTCTTCAAACTTTTCAGGGATATCCATGTGTATTGAAAAATCCAGAGCTATTGTGTTAAAGATGATGACCTGCTGAATAAGGAGAAATAAGCCACTCACATGGGAGCAGCAGACAGCTATCTAGGTATCCAAGCTCCCACTTTGGGGAAGTAAAAACCATAGGGCCATTTTGAAGGCACTATTTCAATATAGTCACACAAAGGAAGTCAAGTCACAAGATTTATTGCTTACAAATTTCAGAACAGAGGTGCAATGAGCTGGAGGAAGGATAGTCTTCCATCCCAAGTTATCAGTGAGCAGGAGACAGAGAGCAGGGTAGCAAGCACCTATTACTTATTATAAGATGGCTGAGGCAGTGGTCACTAATATTTTGCAGGCTCAACTCTGAGAGGTCATGTAAAAAGGTGCCCCAGACTTCCGGTCAAGATGGTGGCGTAGGTAAACATGGTACTCGCCTCCTTCCAAAACCACATCAAAATTACAACTAAACTACAGAACAACCATCATTCAGAACTGCCTGGAAGCAAGCTAAATGGAAGTCCTACAACTACAAAATTAAAGAAGTCACATCAAGTTTGGTAGGAGGGGCAGAGGTGCGGAAGGGCTGGTCCCACAACCATGTGTATCAGATAAAAATAAGGAGGGGTATCTGGGCTGTGGAGGTCCTCCCTGAGAAGCAAGGGGTCCCAGGCCCACACCAAGTCCCCCAGCTCAGGGTTCTAGTGCCACGAAGAGAAGTACCCATAACTTCTGTCTATAAAAACCAGTGTGCACTGAGGAGGGAGACTGAGGCTGCTGGAGTCACACAGTTCCTCTTAAAAGGCCTGTGCATGAACTTACTCGGACTCACTCCCTCTGAGCTCTAGTGCAGGGGCAGCAACTTGAAAGGTAACAGAGACATAGGGGAGGAACTGAATTGTTTGACATCAGGGCAAGCTAGAGGGGCACCTTTCTCCCAGGCAGAAGTGCTGGCAGTAGCCATTGTCCCTTTGATGAGCCCTTTACTAACAGAGCTGGCAGATGAGACTCCAGCAACCTGGATCACACTGTTTATCCCACCCTGGTGATTCCCTAAAGCCCTGTTCCACCCAATTTTTGGGCCCACCCAAACTGTTTCCAGGGCTTTACCATAGAATGGCCTGTCTTGGTTCAGGCTTCAGATTTTCCTAAAATCTCTCAAACAAGCAGCATCTGGCCTCAGCAAGTCCCATACCTCTCACTAAATGGCCCCATGCCTGGCTCTAGCAGCAGCTTGGCCTTGCCTGGGCACCTCCAAGCCCAGCACAAGAAGCAGCCATCTACAGATTGTTTTATAGCTTATGCCTAGTGGCCTCAGGCAGAACACAGGCAGTGGCTGACCTTGACCTATATCTCCCAGGAGGCCCCAGATCCAGCACACCCAGTGAACAGCTTCAGACCACATCAAAGCACCATCACCTAACCACCTTCACAAGTGACACACTCAAGGGGTGGACTCAGTGAATAGCAGAGCCCAACTGAAGTAAGTCTTGCTCTATGTGGTGTGCCCCTGCACAGCTGATCCTCCAAGGTGGTTGGAGGTCAGTGGTCACAGCCAGTCCTTGCAGCTCATCAGCCTGAGTAATTCCCTCCCATTGACATGCCAACAGCAATCAAGACTCAATTACAACAGAAGGGTTACAGCCCACATGGGGGGGGGGGGCATACTTCAAGTGCCCAGCTGGGGTGAGCAGGGAGGCTGTGCCACTGGACCCTACAAGACACCTACTACATTAGGCCATACTACCAAGCCTAGCAGACATAGCAGCTCAACCTAATACATGGAAACAAACACAGAGAAATGGCCCAAATGAGGAGACAAAGAAACATGTTCCCACATGAAAGAGTGGAACAAAACTCCATTAGAAAAAGAACTAAACAAAATGGAGAGAAGCAATCGCTAGATAAACACGGTTATAAGAATGCTCAACAAACTTAGTGAGGACTTTAGCAGCATAAAAAAAGAACTAAGCAGAATGCACTAACTAAAATAAAGAATAACTTAAAAGGAATCTACACTAGAGTAAGGGAAATCAAGAATCAAACCATCAATTTGGAATATGAGGAAGCAAAAAACACCCAATCAGAACAGCAAAAAGAAAAAAAGAATAAAAAAATAAAAAATGATGATAGTGTAAGGATCCCCTGAGACAGGGTGCTGAAAGGAGAAGAGACAGAGCAAGAAATTGTAAACCTATTTAAAAAAATAATGACAGAAAACTTCCCTAACTTTGTGAAGGAAACAGACATACAAGTCCAGGAAGCACAGAGAGTCCCAAACAAGATGAGCCCAAAGAGGCTCACATCAAGACACATAATTAAAATGCAAAAAGTTAAAGAGAAAATATTAAAAGCAGCAAGAGAAAAGCAGTTAGTTACCCATAAGGGAGCTCCCATAAGACTGTCAGTTGATTTCTCAAAAGAAACTTTGCAGGCCAGAAAGGAATGGCAAGAAATATTCAAACTGATAAAAAGCAAGTATCTACAACCAAGATTACTCTATCCTGCAAAGCTATCATTTAGATTAGATGGGCATATAGAGCTTACCAGACAAGAAAAAGCTAAAGAAGTTCATCACCACCAAACCAGTATTAAATGAAATGTTGTAGGGTCTTCTCAAAGAAGAAGATAAAAAATATGAACAATAAAATGGCAATAACTATATTCTATCAACAATTTAATCTACAAACAAAATGAACAAGCAGAACACAAAAAGACTCATAGATACAGAGAACTTTTTGTTGGTTGACAGATGGGAGTAGGGGAAGGAAAGAGGGGGCAGGAAGAGATTAACCAAAGAACTTATATGCATACTAGAGGCCTGGTGTACAAAATTCGTGCACAGGTAGGGTCCCTAGGCTTGGTCGGCAATCAGGGTGGATCAGGGCCTTCCAGTTGCCTGCTGGGGCCTTCCTTCCCTGGCTGCCAGCTGCCAGCCAGGGCCTTCCTTTGTTCCATGCCACCCCCTGGTAGTCAGCACACGTCATAGTGAGTAATCGAACTCCTGGTCTCCCGGACGAACTCCCAAGGGGACAATTTGCATATTATGCTTTTATATATATAGATATGCATAACCCATAAATACAGACAAGAGTGGGATGAAGGCCTGGAGGGTGAGGGGTGGAGGAAGTTGATGGGGGGAAAAATGGGACATCTATAATACTTTCAACAATAAAGATAAATTTTTAAAAATAAAATATAAAAATAAATAAAAAGGTGCCCTGGGAAAAGCAAGGCAGGAACTGTGGTGGGATCCTAAGCTCGGGTCCTTATCTAAATGTCCAGACTCAGTGCAAGCAGGGTTGTCAGACTGTAAAACATCTAGGCAGCAACTCAAAATGGCTATTTTATCATCACACCTTGTGGCTTGTTGCTCTTGTTATATATGCTGGTGGTCATCACTACCAAAAGAGAGAACTCTCTTTGCTTTTGTTAGAAGAAGAAAAAAACAAAACAAAAAACAGCCCTCCATATGTGAAGGCAGATGGGGAGTCCGAGTGCTGGGGGTCTGGGCATGTGACTCACTCTAATAGCCTAGCATTCGGGAGGGAGCCTTTGAAGTTGGTTGAAATCGGCCTTCAGAGTTTGCTCTCTTGACCCTGCTTATGGCACTGGAGGTGACAGCACCTGGGGCAGCACATGGCTACTCTAGGACATGCCAGCACCGCACCCCCTGGATCCTCTTAGATCCCCTTTACCTGTCTAGAGTGCCAGACCCCCAGCTTCTGGCTGCCCCCTAAGAAGCAGCTGGCACCTGTGACCTTCCTAGGTGCCTAGGCCTACCCAGGACTGCTGAAGACACTCCCTACAGATCCGTTAAGATCCAGATGTGGCTAGGAGTTCCTGTTTTCCCAAGGGAAGCCTAGAATAAGAAAACCCGGCTCCAGTTGCGTTACCAGAACTCCCTGTGGAGCAGGCTACAGCTTCCCCTCAAATCCCACCTTTCCCCAAGCTCTCCCATTTGCTGCCCTGCCTAACGGGGTCTGTTTCTGAGGAACCTCATGTAAAACAATTATGAACTGACAAAAATCACTCCAAGCCCATTCATTCATTCACTCATTCAGTAAATAGCTGTTGAGGGCTTGTTATGTGGAAACAGTAAGTTAGGTGCTAGGGAGATCAAGGAAGCAAAATAAAAAATGGGGCCAGCTCTCCCCAACTTTACAATCTAGTGGGGGCAATCGCCTTTATAAACTAGTAGCACAGTCAAGTGCTTACATTTTAAACACTGAGTGCTTTGAAAGGAATTCTCATTCCGTGAGAGCATATGGCAAAGAAACCTGAATGGGCACCCTGCCTCAGACACATACATGTTTGGTTTGTAGGTTGTGCAAGAGAATTTAAACAATACCACTTAAACACGGCCTGGGTGATTGACTAGTAAAGCTCAGTCTCTGAGAGTACATGCTCCCAGGGACAAACGCTAATCAATATTGCCTTGGCCTTGTAAACTGCACAGAGACTAAGGAGGAAACTGAAGGAAAGATGAGAAGAAAGAAAGAAAAGAGAGAGAGAGAGAGAGAGAGAGAGAGAGAGAGAGAGAGAGGAAAAGGAGAGGGGAGGGGAGGAAAGGAAAGGAAAAGAAAAGAAAAGAAAAGAAAAAAGAAAAGAAAAGAAAAGAAAAGAAAAGAAAAGAAAAGAAAAGAAAAGAAAAGAAAAGAAAAGAGGATAGGCACAGGTCTGGAAACAACAGGATGTGAGAGAGGCAGAGAGAATGGCTCTGGCTCCCTCTGGGTGGCCGGTACTGGTAACTCCCCTGTGTCAAAGTCCTCTGAGTCCCCAGGCTGCTCCCTACTGGTTAATCTCACCTGTACTTGAAGGTAAATAATTTCTGGCAGATAGCATGTGGGAGTGAAAAGAAGGTAGCCATGGTCCAGATGACTGCGATGTAGATGACACCTTTTGTGATGGAGATCCGGGGTTTCAGTGGATGCATAATGACCTGGAAAACAAGCAAACTGCATCACTGGCTGAAGAAGTTTTGAAACAAATGAGAAATCTGAATGACATGGCTCACTTGTCACAATAAAGCAGGTAGCTCCTATTTATAAAGTAAAGCACCCTCTGATTCATTATTGAGCGCCTGAGCTACACCAACCCACAGCCCACCTCCAGGGCTAGGAAGAGGGTGTCACCTGGACTCAGAGTCTCCAGGCAGTAATGAAAGTCGTCTGTGGCAGGACCAGGGTGCAGTGAGAAGATGGGGAGGGTGAAAGACGGGTCTGCGTTCAGGACACCCACAGCCCCACAGCAAGGCTGGCAGAGGAACAAGCCAGGGCCAGCCTCCACCTCAGGATCTGACCTCATCGCCTCATGATTCCAAGCCCGCTGGCCTACAAAGGGCTCTGAGGGTAACAGTTGTGGAGAGGAGACTCCCACCACCTATCATGGGAAGCTGTACTGACATTGATTTGGGGGTTCATAGCACTCTTTATAGAAGTCATTACTAAATGTCTTTCTCAGGCCTATAATAAAACCAGTATTATAGGTTTCAGGCTGAAAAGCATCTTGAAATTGCTACTGTATGCCAACTGAGTCTCCTAAAAGGTTTAAATAAACACTTGGGTATTTAGCAGCATCCTCATTTTAAGATTAGAATCATTATGTCTTGAAAAAGGCAGTTTGGGGTAGGTGAGTCCAGGATCCAGGGGATAGGTCATAAAGAGCTGCCACCACCTCAGCAGCCCATCCCAAGACACGCTGGACATTCTGGCTGTGTCCTCCCAAATTTTTCTCCCAACGTTTTCAAGGTTTTACAGGAGACAGTGCCTAGGCTTTAGACAGTGCCAGCAGATCTCCACTCTGGACTTTGCCACCTTTGCCCCCACACTCCATTGTTCAGGTTGCTGAAGGGACTGAAAGCCTAGGCCCAAGGCCCCAGACACTGCTCAAAGACTCCGCTGGCTTTGGGACAGGGCTCCCTGTCTGGGTATATGTCACAGCAACGTGGTCAATGTGGGCAAGACTCCCACCCTGTTCCTCAAACCCACCTTTACCCAAGGGGGAACTCTCAGGTAGCTGTGTTAAATGGGATAAGCATAGGCCGGGCAAAGGTAATCCAGAGTCCTTCTTGTTGCACTAGGGGAGAAGGTTAAGAAAAGGCAGGAAACATTTGTGTGCAACCTTTTCACACTTTGCACCAAAGCATCTGCAACATAAATGTCAAAATGATGGCATCGCAGGGATAAAGAGATCTCAATTCCCTATCAGATGCATGAATCTCCTCTGAACATCCCTATCCGATTTTGCTTAAATATGGCTGGTACATGAAACTCATACCTCCCCAGGCAGCTGTGTGTTCTTCGAAATCTTCCATTAGCCACTTCTTCATCATATTAAGCTGCATCTTTGCATCTGCATCTTGAAGCCTCTTAGTCCTGTGGCACCTCTCGGAGCTACTCAGCATCAATTCTACCTCTCTTTGTCCTGGTGGCCCTATGACATTGGCCTTGCAGGTGGCCTTGAGTCTTCTAGAGCAGGGTGGATGATGATCAGAGAATGCGCTTGGAGCCAGAGAGACCTCAGTCTAATCCCAGCTTCATTATTCGCCAGGCATATGATCTTGGAAACATTATGTAAGCACTTTCTGAGCCTCTATTCCTTGATTCAGCAAAGACCCAAGTATACAACATGGGTTCACTGAGTTACTGTAAGACGCCTGCCACGGAACCATCCTCCTCCAGGATGGACACCCAGATCCTCTTCAGTTCCCCTCACCACATCCACCCATGTGTGTCTGCTGAAGCAGGACAGCGAACAGGACCTTCCTGTCCCACCCCAATGCCTGCTCTGGCCACCTGGATACCCTAGTTTGTTTTCCTCATCAACAGCTTAGGCAAGCGAATGTCCATTTCCCTGCCAGGAGCCTTATCTCCAACCTATAATTATTTGTCACTCTCTTTCCATCTGTGATCTCCCAGGTTTGCTTTTCTGCCTGTAAAGCAAATTCATTAATTTCTAAGGCACAAAATACTAGCAGTGAGTCTTCACTGGAACAACAAACGGGGAATAACTTTCCACAGCACCTAGTATAAAGGGATTAATCTACCTAATCTAAGCATTCATACTACCCAATAAGACAAATGCATTCATTGAAAAAGGGGCTAAAGTACTATTTAAGGGTCTCACATCCCCTCTGGAAAACAAAGGCAGAGAGGGGAGGACAGGGTGCTGGGGGCAGGTGCCCTCACCTGGTGGCGGTTCACGGCAATGGCTGTCAGCGTCAGGACAGAGACATGCAGGGAGCAGTACTGGGCGAAGCGGCTGACGTGGCACATGCCTTTCCCGAACACCCATGTGCTGTTCACGAAGCGGACCTGGAGACAAGCCCGCAGAGGTCAGGAGACAGATAGGCCTTGATCCTGACACCATCCCCCTCCCTGACCCTGTGGCCTCTAAGGAGCATCCCCTGGAAGGCCTCGTCCAGCTCCTCCATCTTCCACTCTTCACAGCAGACTGTGGGTCACACATGATTTTCTCTAGTGTGACTCATTGTCGATCATTCAGTTCAACAGCCTCCAATCATGCTGCTGGGGCCAGGCCCTGTTAGGTGTCAGGAGAGTATAGGAAGGTCATGGCCCTGGTGAAGTCTGCTATTATCTCACACCTGGATCAGTATAGCCTCATCCCAGCTTTCCTTGTCCTCCAGTCTCGCCCCCTTGTGACGCAGCCTTCCTGCCTTTGCTAGTTTCTAGTTGTGTGACCTTGAGCAAGGTATGCAATCTCTGAACCTCAGTATGCTCATTTGTAAAAAAAATAAAGGCTTAAAATCTCTACTTTGCAGACTTATGTAAGGATTAAGTGTTTTAAACATTTACAAAGGGTGCGACACAATGCCTAGCACATTGCTAGAAATATATTATTAGAAATGAATAGTAGCTATTTTCACAATAATAATAAAATTAAGTACTGGCCCATATGAGTTCAGAATAATGAGGAAGACACAACTGAAAAGTCACAACATAGCGTGTGAGCTGTGCTCTCCAATGTTGGCTAAGCAGGCCTTGCAATCCACCATTTGGGAAGGAGAGCCAGGGACCTAAAGAGGTGTGGGCAGGGGCAGGGAGGGATGTGGGGTGGGGGGGGGAGGGGAGAAGAGAAGCTTCCAGGGCAATGCAGTCTTTAGGAGCCAGCTTAGGCCCCATCCCACACCATCCAGTCAGTGCTGGAGCAGCTCCTGTGAGTAACGTCCCATGCCCAAGAGAGGTCAAGCATTAATTCTGATAAAGGAGCTTCCATTCTGGGCAAAGGAAGACTCAGGTACCTCATATGAAAAACAGAAAGTTTTTAACGCCCTGCAGAAGGCTCAAGCAAAGGGCACTGGGGCCACCAGGCAGGGTATGAGTGGGGAAAATAGAGCAGGTCAGCCCAACAGAAAGAATAGTGTGTAGTGGTTTACAGCAGGGTATTTGCCACTTACAGCTGTCACCTTTAGCAATGCACTTAGGTCCTATGAGTCTCACTTTCATCATCGATAAAATGGCTAACCCTTTGCACATGGTTGCTATGAAAGCCAAATAGGAGATACTACATATAAAGTAGGTACAACAGCACTTAGTCCACAGCAAGTACTTAACACTGCTAACTGTCATTATTATGACATGAGACATTTGAGATGAACTTTAAATAATAGGTAGGGCCCAGCTAATTTGTTGAGCATCAACCTATGAATCAAGGGTTGGATTCCCGGTCAGGGCACACACTCGGGTTGTGGGCTCGATCCCCAGCCTGGGGTGTACAGGAGGCAGCCGATCAATAATTCTCTTATCATTGATGTTTCTATCATTCTCTCCCTCTCCCTTCTTCTCTGAAATCAATTTAAAATATATATATATTTTAAAAGGAATAGGTAGGATTTGCACATGTGGAGATAAGAACAAAGAATCTGGCACTGGATCAGAAATCTCAGGACCTGTTTGGGGAATAAGGGGTGGAATGGTATTGGCTGGAGAGTGTGGAAGAGTCATGAGGAACAAGTCTGGCCAGATCACGAAGCTGGGCCAGCAGATCATGGACTTGACTATCTTTGGAATGGGCAGGGAGGAGCGACATGAGGCCTTGAACAGTCCAATAACATTACAGAGCTAGAAATCTTTAGCTATGCCTACTCCTCACCTGCCATATTCAATGCATTGCTAAAGCCAACCAGTGCTACCTCTAAATAGTTTTCAATCCATTTCCTCCTCTTCAGTCTGAAGACTATGGCTCTAGTGGAGTCCCCCATCATCTCTCACCTGCACTATTACAGCCTCCTGGCAGCTTTCCTTGTCTTCCGGTCTTGTCCCCTTGTAACTCAACCTTCATGCTGCTGATAGTATTTTTCTTAAACTGTATTGTTACCTTCCTGCTTAGAATCATCATGGCCCTGAGGACAGTGCCAGATGCCTTATGAGTATCCAGGCCCATTAACAGGCTGGGCCCAGCCTTCCTTTCTGGCCCTGTTTCTCTCCTGCCCTGCTGGCTCCTTCACTGGGCTTCCTGCTTCCGCTGCTCCAGCTACATTGAGCCACGCAACGGTCCCTCAACACAACATGAACTTTGATGCCTCTTGTCTTTGCTCCTCCAGGTCCCTCTGTCCGCACTGAGCATTCATCCTGACCTGGGAAATTCCAGCACATTCTGGCCTCTTTGAAATGTCATGTTCTTGGTAAGATATCCTTGGACCTTCTCATGGGACTCTGGCAGGTCAGAATGAATGATTCCCTCCTCAGGGCTCCACCATACCCTGTATCTCTACCATGGGAACTGTAAGTGATTGTTCTCCCAATGACCAGAGCTACACTTGATGCTGACATCGGATGCAAAGAGGATAGAAAGAGAGACCGCAGAGAAAGGCTACTGTCAGCAACCAGCCTGCCGACAGGACCTCGTACCCAGTGGAGGAGCCCGGCTGACGCCTTAGAAGACCCTCCCTTGACCTTTTCACTCTCCCTGGTTGCCAGCACCTTGGAAGCTGTGATAGGAGTTTGGACTGGGACCGGTACAGGGTTCAGGTTGAAGGCCACGCTGCTTTAAATCAACCTGGAAGTAGTGCTGGGTTCTCATGACCTTGCGAGCTCCTCTCTCAAAGGACATTCTCCAGGGCAGGGGTTGCCAGACTGGCCTGGGTTCTGTGGCCTCCCTCCCCACCCACCTCATGTCTGTTGCAGATCTCGCCGTGCATTCTACTCTGGACAGCAGCCCAAAGCCAGGCCCTGGGACCCTCCAGTTCCCATCCTGGGTGGCCCAGCCTAACCCCAACATTGCAGATTGTCAGGTCAGAAACCAAGGGGGGAGTCAAGGGGAGACAGAGATGCACTCTCTTGTGCTTCCAGGCAGCAGAGGGGATTATGGTGGAAGGGGGAAGGGGTATTTGCTAGCCTCCGTGTCCTTGGTTAGTGCCTAGAGGACCCTGAGTGGCCAGGAGTCCTTTAGACATGAGCTGGAAGGAGAACAGGAAAAGCCCACGGTTTGGAGTAGTGTAGCCTAACATGGCCCGAGACCGCCCCCTTTCCCACTCCTGGGTGGGTGCTTAGTGGACAGACCTCTGGACTTTAATCGGGGAAGTAATTCTCATCTTGGCTCTGCCATTTACTAGCGAAGCGACCTTGGACAGGGGATTGAATACCTCAGTGCCTTCGTTTCCTCATCTGTAAAATGTGAGTGATGTTCTCATAAGTGAGGACAAAGAATGTAGTTTTAATGTGACAAAGAGAAACAATGAGATACAGAGAGATATGAACAGATACTGCTTTGGTAATAGCTCAAATTCCACAAGGTGTTATTCTACAAGTTAGGTGGGAAATGTTAACTGGTGCTACAAAAACATAAGATGTAGCTGTCATTATGATCGCTCAGTCAAAGCCCTCATAGTCTTAAATCATCCATGAGCACCACACTCCCAAGTACACTCCCAAGTCCCAGAGGGACAGAAATGACGCCACTAACACCAAGCAGCCAAGGCTCGGGGAGGAGGCTCACCGGCCTCCCTGTGCAGAAGCCCCAGCCTGTCCCAGCCCTGGGCCCAACCTCTCCCCCAACACAGACTTCATGGCTGCCTCACTGTCAAAGCACAGCAGAGAAATGCAATTTAAATACGTGGTCTAGGTAAAGGTGCACTTCAGGTTCCATTAACAATTAGCAATCATTTGATATTTCCCCTGTGGCTAAACGCATCCCCATCCGGAGAGGGGTGTATTTAATCTGCTTCA